TAGGGCGGAGGGGCCCAGCCCCAGCCTCTGTGCAATGTGAATTCCACTGCTCCACCATCAGAAGACGATGGGCTTGCCAAGCCAAAGCTAGAAGAAACCCCATGCATTCACTAGTAGGGCTGGATCCCTCTCAGACATCTCTACAGGCCTCAGGAGGACATGGACCACATGAGCACCCGTAGGGGCTGCACAGAAACATAAGCTCATCACACAGATCCCAGGAGCTGAAGGGGGCACAGATGGGTGAGGAGACATTGGCAGAGGCCTGAGCATACAAGAGACTGGGGACATCTAGGCACAAAGCTTCCACAAGCCATGCCCAGAGCAGGGCCCCTCCTTCCCTAAGGGCAGACTGTGGACCATGCAGGGCCACGAGCAAGGCATCCTCTCGCAACACCCTGGCTCAGAAACAACCCAGAAATCAGACTACCTGGGATTCCACATTGCTCCACTATGGGTGGAAATCACTGACCCAAGACCCCAAGTGCTGACCAGGTAGAAGAATCCCGTGTTCTCTGTACCCAGTACTGCAAAGCCCAAGGCAACGGGCCCAGTGACAAGACTCAGGGAGGTAAGTGAAAATCAATGGTAACTGGAAGCCTCAGCTCAGACGACAGCATTTGATAATCAACGGAAATCTCATTACCTGCTTAATTAGGGGTCCATCAAGCCACTTCAGGACACACTGAAATGCTGTGGACTCCTTCCAAAGCTGGCCAACCCAGTACTGCAAAGCCCAAGGCAACGGGCCCAGTGACAAGACTCAAGGAGGTAAGTGAAAATCAATGGTAACTGGAAGCCTCAGCTCAGACGACAGCATTTGATAATCAACGGAAATCTCATTACCTGCTTAATTAGGGGTCCATCAAGCCACTTCAGGACACACTGAAATGCTGTGGACTCCTTCCAAAGCTGGCGTGCTCTCTGTGGGTGGGGAGGGACCAGTGTGTTCTGGGCGAAGGCCCTGTGCCAGTCATCCATGCTGCCTGTCTGACCTCACTGGGGCCTCCAGGACCCCCTGCACCATCTGTGAAGAACGAAGGCAAGAGCTGTTGGGCCAAACTGAACGTTTCCCAAGGAGCCTCCAGCCCAGAACCCACCTTTACAACCCTGTCCTGTAGACACCGGCGCAGCGGCTGCTCTGAACGCACGCTGCCCACCCTCTGGCTCCATGGAACCCTCTGCTCCCACATGGGCCAATCGGACATAATGACAGGACACAGTGGGCGGCCCTGCAAACTCTACAGGTCCCCACTGAGTTTGTTACCATATATAGTGGAAATATCAGCGATGCCAGAGAAGGCTCTTGGTAGAGCCAGGAAGGCCACTGATTTCACTACATCTGGACTACTGGCTACACATGTCAAGACTGACAAGAAACATGGAGCTGAGCAGAGCTCCTTCCCTGTCTGTTGCAAGCTGCAGGCCACCAGGCATCTGCAGGAAGGTCTCTGTGACTTCGGAGGCCCATTAACTTTTACATTAATGCCATTTTAATAAAGAGAGAGGAATGAGAGGCAGGACACGGCTATTTAGATGTAGAGACTCAGCTGACACTTTCTCAAACACGAACAAGAGAGCCTGTCACTTCAGCAAAAACGACGAGTAAAAAAAGGAGTTTTGAAGCAAAAATGAGAGCCGGGAACATCTGTATCCTCCACCAGCGACCCAACTATGTCACATTTCAGGATCTTTCCAGTAAGATGGGCAGGGACAAGACTAATGAGCACCTCAGAAAGTGTACACCACATGTCAGTGTGTGGAAGGTCAGTGTAACTCAGATGGTCTGTCTTCCCAAGAGCCCAGCGCATAAAGACTCAAAGCCCTGCGGGAACAAAAGAGCCACTCAGGGCAGGAGCTTGGGGTGTGAGGAGGCAGTTAATGGCATGGGACACCACTTTAGAACAATCTGGAAGAAACTGTTGGCAGAGTGCTGGCCTAGCATGCACAAAGCTCTGGACTCCATCCCCAGTACCACATAAGCCAGGTGTGGTGACACACCCCTGTAATTCCAGCAATGGGAAGAGGCAAGAGGATCTGAGTTCCAGGCCAGCCTGGTCTACACAGCGAGTTCCAGACTAGCCAGACCTACACAGTGAGACCCTGTCTCCAAAGGCAGAACAAACCTACTCAGAGGGTGAGCATGGCATCCTGGAATACCCACCTCAGGGATACCCACCTCAGGGACCCTCCTCCTACTCAGTGGGGATGGGTTTCCTTTGAAGGCTTCAACAGATTAGGCACAGAAGCCCCTAAAATAAACTGCCTCCTACTGAGCCAGGCACGAAAAACACTCACAAACGAGAAGTCATCCTTCTCATCCATTTTAAAGGTTTTGATGGGGCTGGAGAGATGGCTCAGCGGTTAAGAATATTTGCTGTTCTCCAGAGGACCCAGGTTTGATTCTCAGTGCCCACATGGCAGCTGATGACTGTCCATAGCCCCAGTTCCAAGCAGACCCAGAAACCAACAGGGCCAAGGTAGGGATGGATGGAGCCGGCAGATGGGAAGTAGCCCCCCATGTCCCCTGGAGGCTGCTGCCCCTCCTCCAGTCAGGTTGAATAGCACCCCGAACTTTCTCATCCTATCCCAGGAACCTGGGAACATAAGACTGTTTATAGCAAACTGGATTTGGCACAGGAGCGGGTAGGTTATACAGGATCATCCAGGGAGCCTGGTGTACACATAGGTCCTTATAAGAGATGGGTAAGAAAGATTAAAGAGACCAGGGGCCACAGAGCTGGGTGAGGCCTGCGGAGGGAAGAAAAGCTATATGCCAAGGGATACAGGTGCCCTCAGGAGTCAGAAAGGACAGGGACACGTTCAGCTAGGGCCTCCAGGGACCCGCGCTGCCCACACCTTGAGCTTAGCCAATGAGACAGATTTCAGACTTCTGATGGCCAGAACTAGAAAAGAATCAATGTGTGGCATCTGGGGACGGCAGTCACAAGACACTCAATAGGGAAGAGTGCAGGGAAGGAGGGAGGCTCCTGCACGCCCTGGATCCAGCCCCAAGTCCACACAGCACTGAGCTCTGCTGGTCACAGCACTGCCGCCTATCTCGCCACGACTGCACCCCTGGCCAGCTCCCGGCAGAAGGGAACTGTCCTCCTGTGGCCTTGGCTGCAGCTCACTAGCAGAACTCAGGGAACAGTCACAAAACCAAATGACACTGCAGGGGAAGTGGGCCTGGCTCCTGCTTTCTCTTGGAGAAACATGGCTCATTGCTCTTCAGATGAACAGGAGTGGACTCTGTGAAAGCAATGCCCGAGAGCAGGGCAGGTACTTCTGGGCAGGCTATGGACACAGGCCCCCACACAGCCGCCGGCCTGACTCAAGCCAGGGTCCTCACCCCAGGGGCTGTGAAAAGCACCTACTGCCCAGCAGGCTCATGCTGGCACTGAAGGCCCTGCCTCCCCCCAGCCCTCTAAAGAAATATCATCAAGCCGGGCATGGTGGCGCACACCTTTGATCCCAGCACTTGGGAGGCAGAGGCAGGCGGATCTCTGTGAGTTCAAGGCCAGCCTGGTCTACATAGTGAGTTCCAGGACAGCTGGGACTACAGGGAGACCCTGTCTCAAAAAGACAAAAAAAAGAAAGAAACATCATCAAGGGCTGAACAGTCAGTGTTGTCCTGAGAGACTGGAAGTTCCATGAGTCAGCACTGGTCCTCGGAGAGACTCTCGCAGAGACTGAACAGAAATAGAACCATCCTGGCAGGAGAGAAGATTTTCCAAAGAGACACTTGTGCTCCCCTCAATGGATTAACAGACCCCAAAGAACTAAAATTTCCACCGGAAACCCGTGGTGGGGGAGGGGAAAGGCTGAAGCCCACACCTCCTGGGAAGAGATTTCACACAGTTCTGACAACCTGTCAGACATTTGCAGAAGCTGCAACAGGGAACAAGCCCTGGGGTCACACCTTGACAGGACTGCTTAGTTACAAGGATTTCCTGCCCTCTAGTTAAGCCTGACCCTCCCACTGGTACTCCTAAGGCCAGCTTGGGTAGGGGTGGGGCTACTCGACCCTTTTATTTGTTCCTCTTCCCACATGGCCACTCAATCAATCTCCTTTCTCTGCCTTTTCACAATTATGTGACCCTTTAATCGCTGTAGTAAGGACAGGTGGTCAAGCTTACATGGTGGGGTTGCCAGGGACCATGACTGTACCCTAAAAACTCCCATAAGAAAAAGACCCTGGGGGCTGGAGAGATGGCTCAGTGGTTAAGAGCACTGGCTGCTCTTCCAAAGGACCCGGCTTTGGTTCCCAGCACCCACATGGTGGTGTAACTCCAGTTCCAGGGGATCCGACACCCTCTTCTGACCACCGCGGGCACTGCATGACATGGGTGCACTTACATACATGCAGGTAATACAATCATACACATAAAATAAAAATAACATTTTTTAAAAGCCCTAGAGGAAAGCATAAGCACCAATGGGCTGGAGAAACATTAGAAAACAGGGCAAATTTCATGCTTTGAACCTAAGAAAAGGGTACCACTGGCTCTCCAGGGAAGAAAACACACCATTGTCTACTGAGCCCTGTACTGTCAGGCACAACACTCCTGTATGAACTGTTCCCACAATGGGAGAAGGCAATGTCAGCACAGCCCGCTCTATAGAAGAAACTGAGACGTCGTGGCCAGGTGAGCCCACATCGACTGGTCACTAAGCCACAACGATGGGCAAGCGGCCAGGAGAGGCCAAGCGGGAAAAATGCCCAAAATGGGGCCATGAGAGACCTGGTGGAGGTGCCCAGGCATGAGGGCCAGTCCTATCACAGCCCCAACTTTAGTAAAGACCCTCACCCTCTCTGCCTGCTTCAATTCTACAAGATGGGGCTCTGGGTGGAGTCTTCAGGACTTTGTCTTCTGCAGATCCATGCACCAAATGTTTGCCAAGCACCAAGTGTCTGTGAGGGGCAGAAAGACATGGGCTCTGTCCAATAACATGAAGCAATTGTGGAGAGAAACGGAGCAAGTGTGCACCTCGCACAGCGCAGAACCTGTCCCAGGCTCCTTTTCTGCTAAGAGGAGGAAACCAGGGAGGTTGAAGTTCCGCAAACATGGTACCAGGGGAAGGAAGGCCTGCCAGGCACAGGGACGCCTCCTCTCAGAAGTGAAGACGTGGGGTACCTGACCTAGACCCCGTGGGGAACTATGGTGGACTTCTGTTTCTCATTAAGGGCTACCTGGCATGCCCTCATTCACCCTCCACTAGGGGGTTAAAGGCAAAGTCCTCACCAGAGCAAACTCTTTTCCCAGGAGACCTGCACTGGACCGAGGTAGTGCTAGGACGCAGCTTGGAGCACAAGGCAGACTTGTGACCCACGGAAGACGCACTGCTGAGCTGCAACGGTCACCAGGGAGACCCTGCCCGGCTCTTAAACGCGCAAACCAGGCAGCGTGGGCTGCAAGGGCGGGGGCCGGCCGGCCCTGCGCTCCGACGGCTGGACGTGGACAGGACCAGGGCCTCGCGGTGCATGGAGGCCCGCAGGGACCGACCTGAACAAGCCGCAGGGACTTGGGCCAAGAAGGATGTGCGTGGACAAGGCCGCGGGATACCGAGCTCTCCGCCTGGACCCGGGGTGGGCACCGGATCAGGAGGCGCAGGTCTCACCCAAGGAGCCCCAGACACCCAACTTTGCAGGGCAGCCTGGGCTACACCATTACCGTGCGGGGAGGGTGCGACCCACGGGGACACGCGGACCCGACCCAGCCCTGCGCTCCGCGTCCTGCCCTTGAAGATACCGGGTCCCCACGTCAGGCTGCGTACACCACGCCACCCGGGACCCGGGAATCTCGGCCGCTCTGAGCCCACCCGTGCCTCCAGGTCACGCCGACCTCCCCCTCCTCGCCAGCCCACTTTGGTTCCGTCCGCCGCTGGCGCGTTACCTAGGAGACAGGCCCAGCCGCGGAACCCAGACCCACACCTTCGAGGACGTCCCGCACCGCGGACCCGGGATGCGGCGGCCGGTGCCCACGGAACCCGACGCCTGGCGGGTCCAGCACCGACCCAGAGGCGCACCGGGTCCGCCGCCGCCACCCGCGGGAGGAGCCAGGGCCGGCCGGGCAGCGCACACGGAGCCCGAGACCCCGCCCCGCGTCCCTAACGTCATCAGACCGCGGAACCAATGAGAACCCAAGCCCCCGCGCGCGCCAGCCAATCAGCGCGGCGCGGGCCAATCCTGATTTGCATAGACCCCCCCTCTGCCCTCCACCAATGAGAATGTGACTGGCGTGCTCGCTAGCCAATCAGAGGCTGCTAGGGGCGTGGCCTCGGGCGTCCCACGAGGTGAAGATGCTGCGGGCGGAACCTGCCTAGGAGGAGCGGGATTCGGGGGCGCTGAAGTCGCAGGGGCCGGGCGGGAAGGAAGATCCGGAGCGGGGTGCAGGAGCCGGAGCTGGAGCCCCCAGGTGAGTGCGGCGGGGCGACCCTGGCCGAGGCCGGGCCTCCCCCGAGCCCCGCGACGCGCACCTGCGAGGCCGCTCTGCGGCGGACACCGCGGTCCCTCGCCATCTCCCTGCCCCCGCCGCCGTCCTCGCCGCCTTCTCCACCATCTCCCTGCCCCCATCCCACCCTGCCAGGCTTCCCTGTCATCCCGCCTGGCCTTTCAGCCCGCATTCCCGACCCCTACCCTGAAGTTCATCCCTCATCCCGCGTCCCCATCTCTGCGCCCTCGCGTCCCCGCAGCCTCGCCTCGCCCTTCCCTCCCAGCTTCCTTCCTTATCCCCTCAGCCGGCCTCTGCGCAGCCCCAGCGGTGCGCTCCTAGTCTCCCCATCCTTCTCCTCGTTGCTCCCCAAGGCTCATCCTTCGTCCTTGCTGCCTGTCCCAGTGTCCCTCGGTCCCTGACCCCAGCCTCTCACCCCTTCCACTTCCGGCCCCAGACTACCTTTCAATGTTCCCCAGCACCTTTATACTCCCTGCACCGGGTCCTCGGACTTTCTGCACCTTATAGCCTCCTCACCTGTCCCAAGACCCCTACCCGCCATGCTCAGCTTCTCCGCCTCTGCCCAGGCCCTGGCACAGAGCACTTCCCCACCTCCCTACCTGCTGCTGCCCCTGCGGGATGCTGCCCGCCGCAGTGTCTGCAGCGGAGTACCTGCCCACCTGCCCCCTCTCCCATCCTTGGCACACCCTGCCTGTTCTTCCTGGCATTTGTCCTGGGGGAGTCTCCTGCAGGATGCCTAGAACACCCTAGGGTGCTCCAAACGAGAAACCTCTCAGCACCCTCTCCTGCCTTCGTCCTAGCCACCATCTCCCTCCTCACCCCTCCCCCACTTTCCTGCTCAGTCTCACTTTGTGATTCAGCATTTTTGGGGTTGGTAACTTTCTTGGCTTTCTGGTGTGAAAGGGACCTGTCTGAAAGGCAGGTGGTCTGGATTTCGAGGGTAGCAGGGCCACCTTAGAAACCAGATTTGAGCTGCCCAGTTGGGAGAGGGGCAGGAGCCAGAGAGACCCATTCTTGAGGGTTGCGTTTTGCTCCCTTCCATTTGTCTGCCCTGTGTTGAACCTCATCCAAGGGGAGATGACATAAGTAATAGCTCTTGGGGAAATGGGCTATTAGCATTTATGGAAATTAATACATCCACATCCGAGGCGCAGGAACATCAAGTTCAGGCCACAGCTGTCCCGCTATCTGTTTCAAGATTCCTCCTTCTCTGCAACTTGTACTCCTCCTCAGAAAAGCCAGCCCCCAACCAACCCCCTTCCAGTGCCAAGAACAGGCCTCCACTCTGCTCCCAAAGCTGCATCCAGGCCCTGCGTTGCAGGGCTTAGTGACCTGTGTGTGAAGAGTCCCATCGATCCACCTGCTTCTTACTTGGCAGATGTGTCTGCTACAGACCCCAGGCTCCTGTGAAGGTATGGGGGACCCCTGGCTTTGTGCCTTTCGCAGCGTGAGGTCTCTCCAGGTTCTGTGCATCAAGGCCAGCATGCAGCCTCCCCAGGGGAAGCTGTCCAATTCCACACCGGCATCAGTGTCACTGATAGTGCTGGTCTGCAGCAGGACCCTGTCTGGTGGAGACTTCCCTTGTCAAAACAGAGATCTGTCTTTTCCCTCTTTGCTACACCAGGCAACGCATGTTTTGTGGGTGCCAGTCAGGGTCCAGGGACTGAGCCGGTCAGGGAGAGGGGTGTCAGGGAAAAATCACAAAACTTTTCATGTGCTTCTAGTGTTTGAAACCCTGTGTATGCAAAGCTGGATAGGGGAAACGTGTACAAAACCGGTTGCCCACAGATGGTGAGAGGTGGCACTCAGGCCATGTGTGCTGGGGAACCAGGAGGCAGAGAGCTCTGTGGCTGGCCAGCTTGGGAGGCCTCGTGGCCCTTGGGCTGGCTTCTTCCCTCTCTGTTTTCATTCACCTCTAAATTCAACTGATTTAGAAGGAAATGAATGGCACAGTTTGGGTTTGGCGGTTTCCAGGAAGGGTGTGGAGGGTCCTTGTGTTGTATTTGCAGGTGCTCCCACGACAGCTGGGCACGCAGTGTGTATGGAAGGGAAAGTGCACTAGTCTTAGAATCCTGGGGAATGTGTTTCAGTTTCTGAGTGGTCCAACCAGGAGTGTGTGTTTGATCCTCGGTTAAGCTGTCTGTGATCTTTGGTCACCAAAGGTCCCAGAGCCACAGTGTTTCTTTCTAGAGTCCCTGAGTAAGTAGACAGAATAGCAGCTGCTACAGGCAGCATTCTCTAAGTGTCTAGACCAAGAGACCGCATACCTCTCTCCACCCTCTCTCCCAGCAACCAGAAGGTCTCTCACACCTTATAGAAATGAAGACACTCAAGTTGCAAGAGCCTTGGCCACCCAACAGTCAGCCATCTCCTTTCTTAGAGCAGTTAACAGAAGCCCAGTGGGCAAAGATTTATTTCTTCAAGGTCAACAGAGGCAGTGATGGAGCTGGGGCAGACCCCACAATTCACACTTCATTGAGCCCAGTTCACTCATAGTTCTCCAAGTTGGAGGAAGTCAGCACCCCAAGGACCCAATGGCTGCCCTTTGGGAAAGCAACTATTGGGGTGTCACTGACATTTCTGGAAGAAGTTCTTATCTTAAGGTGTGTCTAAGTCACAGGAAGGTTTCTCAGGAACAAGGGAGATGCCACTGACTGCAGCAAATTCTCAGGATTCTAGTCTGCCTGACCTGGCAGGTTCCCAGCACAAAGGTGCTGTTGTTCATAACCATCAAGATGGCCATGTAGTTACAGGACAGACAGGAAGCCAGGGCCCTGGGTGTGATGGGGAAGAAGGGAGTTCTCACTAGAACTACACTCTGATCCCGTATTACCTCAGGGATCTTGTGAAGAACTTCAAAATAGGCTTATTTAACCTGCAGGGGAAACTGAGGCATAGAGTGACTGGCCCTGGCTTTCCAGCTAGTAAAGAGTCCTGCCCTGACAAGATGGGGTGGTAAGTGCCCAGTCCACTGTCCCACCCTGCTCCAGCAAATGTGGAGCAGGGTGAGTCTACTCAGACACCCAGGGGATCAGGAGCTAATCCAAGGTCCCAAGAGATTTGGGGCCCGTTTCAATGAAATAGGAAACCCACACTGGGCCTGGCTCATCTTTAGAGTGGATCTGTGATGAGATAGTCTGTTTTCAGTTGCTATCACAAAATACCTGAAACTGAGTCATTTACAACAAATAGAGGTTGACTGCTATGTGCAGCCTCCGTGCTAAACCCTGCCCACTTTCTGAGTTGTAACTCCTAAACTTTATTCTTTCCTCTTCTTTCCATCTCCTCTCTTCAACCACTAGCAGAACTCCTAAGCCTGTTTGCCTTGATAACGCAGGACATACACTCTATCTTCCTCTATCCCTCTCTTCCCTGCTCTGGTCCTCTCCCACACACTCCTAATGCAACCATTTGCAATCTTCTGTTGCTGAGCCTGCCTGCTTCCTTGATCTCTAACTCAGAAAATAGAACTTTCTCTTTCTTTCTCCATCTCCCTCCTTCTGGCAGCTGCTCACATCTCTTCTTTTGTCTTTCAAACTCCAGTAAAACATTCCTTGTTCCCCTCTGGGAAAAAAGAAATTAAAACAAAAGAGAATAACACAAGTTTAGGTGACTCAGGGTCCTGGAGACTCCAGAATCCCAGAATGGAACCCATGTGGTAAGGTGCTGCGTCGGAACATGGCAGGGGCATCACAAAGAAAGCAGGTATATGTCAGCAGGGCATCTCTTCCACTTTCTAAAACCACCAGCCCTGTCATGGGGGTCCTACCTTAACACCATCATCCAATCCTAATAACCCCTGAAAGGCCCTCACTCCAAAAACCATCAGCATCACAGTGTTAAGTTTGAATGAAAATGCCCCTGATACGTTCGTGTTTTAAACACTGGTTCTCCAGCTGATGGCACTATTTGGGGAGGCCAGGAAACCTTTGAAGAGTTGGGACCTAGCTGGCAGAAGTAGGTCACTGGGGTGGGCCTTTGAAAGCTAAGGCCCTTGGTTCCTGATCCATCACATAAGGAGCCTCTACCACAAGGAACTCTGCCATCTCCCCCACCATGATGGACTGAGACCCTCTAAAACTGAGAGCCAAAATAAATCTCTCCCCAAGTGGGTTGTTTTTTTAGCAGGTAGTTTGGTCACAGTGACACAGAAGTAATGACTGTAATAGAAATTTGA